ACCCTTTATATACATCTTGGCATCCTTGGTAGATTTTAAGGTGAATTCTTTAAAATAAAGGTGCTGGATCAAAGAGAGTATGCCCATTATTTCTGTTTAGTTAACAGTGTTTGTATTGGTCTGTGTGACTTTAGTTTCTATCCCTAGTCCCACACAACTCTCTTAATGATACCGTGCCAAAGAATCAATGTTTTCACACTGTGGTGCTGGAGAGGCCTCCTGAGAGTCCCTAAAGCCTCTGACTGTGGTTCAAAACAAGCTGGAAAATTCTTATAGAGATAGGGATACCAGACCACCTTACTTGCCTCCTGAGAAATCTGTATGTGGATCAAGAAGCAACAGTTAGAACCAGACATGGAACAATGGACTGGTTCAACATTGGGAAAGGAGTACGTCAAGTTTGTATATTGTCACCCTGCTTATTTACCTTACATGCAAAGTACATCCTGCAGAATGTTGGGCTGAATGAAGCACAAGCTGGAATCAAGATTGCTGGGAGAAATATCAATAACCTCAGATATGCAGGTGACACCACCCTAATGGCAGAAAGCAAAGAGAAACGAAAGAGCCTCTTGATGAAGGTGAAAGAGGAGAGTGAAAAAGCTGGCTTAAACTCAATATTCAAAAGACTAAGATCATGGCATCTGGTCCCACCACTTCATGGCAAATAGATGGGGAAACAGTTGAAACAGTAACAGACATTATTTTCTTGGGCTCCAGAATCACTGTAGACGGTGACTGCAGCCATGAAATTAAAAGACACTTGCTCCTTAGTAGAAAAGCTATGACCAGCCTAGACAGTGTATTAACAAGCAGAGACATCATTTTGCTGACAAAGATCCATATAGCCAAAGCTATGCTTTTTTCCTGTAGTTGTGTATAGATGTGAGAGTTGGACCGTAAAGAAGGCCGAGTGCTGAAGAATTGATGCTTTTGAACTGTGGTGCTGGAGAGGACTCTTGAGAGTCCCTTGAACTGCAAGGAGGTCAAACCAGTCAATCCTAAAGGAAATCAACTGTAAGTATTTGTTCAAAGGCCTGTTGCTGAAGCTGAAACTCTTAATACTTTGGCCACCTGATGCAAAGAGCTGACTCACTGGAAAAGACCCCGATGCTGGGAAAGATTGAGGGCAGAAGGGGACGACAGAGGATGAGATGGTTGGATGGCATCATTGACTCAATGGACATGAGTTTGAGCAAACTCCGGGAGATAGTGAAGGACATGGGTTCACAAGTGACTGAACAACAACAAATACTCTCCCTACAGGAGAGCAAGGGTGAGTGTGGCCACCCCTCCCGAGGCTCTGCCCATCACCGAGCCTCTTGTGTTTACACAGCATGTTTGGCCGCCTCCCTTTCCTGGACATCTTAAGGGCACGTTACCCAGGATATGATCATCTCCTCCCTCCAGGAGGAACCAAAGAAGGAAAGTGCTCAGAGACACCAGTGAGAGTGTGGCAGCGCCCTGGCTGTGGGCAGGGCTGCCCGGGGCCTCTCTGTGGGAGTGGAGGTTGGCTTTCAGGACAGTACCTGCCTTTGTGCGCTGACTCATCTTTGCTCATCCTGGTCCCCACCCTGCTGAACACACACCAGTTCATGACACTACGCCTTTTAAAATCAGTGCCCTGGCTTCTTCCTCCGCATGAGGTACTTCTGTGTCTTGGTGTCACCTCTTAAATGTGAGGAGTATGCCAGGCGTTATGTGGATGTGGGCGCACCCCATTTTTTAAAACTTGAATATGAATCCATGCTTTTTAATCAGCTGATTCATAGTTAGAAAGTAACTATGGACCTGAGAAAGTCTGCACTCAGTCTTTACCTAGTGGGAAGTATCTCGTTCATTTTTTTCTTTTTTTCCTTCTTGGCCACACTGTGTAGCCTGTGGATTCCTTGTTCCCACACCAGGGATTGAACCCATGCCCCTTATTTTGGAAGTGTGGGGACTTAACCACAGGGCTGCCGGGGAAGTCCTTCTCTTTCAGAACTTATAATTGTTGTCAGGGTTAGGAGTAACCTTTTATCATCATCATCATCATTATCATTGTTATCATTATCATTTCTTTGCTGGGGCATCAGCAACCACATTCCTGTCCTTTGTACAACAGTGCTTCACCCACCAAGAACAAAAAGGTGTTACCCACCCAGAAAGCCCATAGAAGAGAAGGAAGCGGAGTCGAGTGCAGGTGCTGGCCTGGTAGCCTGGACCTTGGCCATGAGGAAAAATGTCCCTCCTCACCCAGATGGGGACGTCCCTCAGGTCCCGCCCCAGCAGGTGTGGCAGCCTGTCCTGCCCCTCCCCTCCGAGTTAGGGGCAGGAGGAAGAAGCAAATGGGTTGAGGTTCTGTGCCACCAGGAGCGCCATTCCTATCCACATAATTCTAGGACCATAGTTTGTGATCTGATGGCGGCTTTCAGCTTCTGCTTCTGAGGATGTTGTCCAGGGTTGTAAGATGACAACCACTTCCCACTCTGTTCCCCACTTACTCACTGTCTGTGACTGTTCCAAGGAAGGCCTCTGGGAAAGTCACCGTGTGATCAAACTCTGTGGTCCCCTGCAGGAAAACAGAAAACTGTTGTTCTTTTTCGCTGTGGGGAACATTTAAGCTTCCCTGGGCTGGACTGGAAGCCTGTGCATCCCTGTTTGGTTTCCAGGCTCCCTGATCCGGTTCTCACCCTCTGCTAGGACTGCCCAGCCCAGCCCTCTCTCCCAGCTCTTATTTACCCATGGGTGGGTTCTGACCTTGCCCTTGGCACTCTGGGCAGGTCAGCCTTCCCCCCCGAAGGCCCTGATTGCTCCCTCTCGCTCTTAGTGTTGTTTGGAATGGCCAAAAGAGCATTTGCCTCAAATCAAATGACTCACTGCCTTGCTCATAGTAACTGTCAGTCATTCTATTGGTTCCTTATCCTCTTGTAGATAGAAGTCTGGAGAACCAGCCAGCGGAACTTTTTTTGTGTGGAGGAATATTTGAAACTCCACACAAGGAGTTCTGTTGTACTGGGGAGTAACTGCCAGGAGAAGGAGGACACTGCCTTTGAGTTGGGACAGACAGTAATGTATCACTCTGCAGTGAGAGAGAGGGAAAAGACAGTTAGAATGGACACCAAGACGGACTTGGGTTGCATTGAGAAGGCATTTCTGTGGATCAGTACAAACACATCACTGTGACATAGAGCTCCCCCATTTCTTGCCCTTTGTAGACGTTAAATAACAACTTATTAGTAGCCCTCCTGTTTTGTTCAATTGTGCCTCTATTTTTAAAGAGAAAATGAAACATTTTGGCACCCTTTTAAGTAGATGGATATTTATTGGTGTTGAAAAGAAACACACATACTGGTTAATTTCTCCAGGACCTAAGATTTCTCTGCATAGCAAGTTTTGCAGGCGTCCAGAAAGAATATTCAAGCTGGCCAAGGAGGGAGGGCAGAGGAGTCTCCAGGAATCTTTATCTGGTTGGAAATAGACTGGGGACCTTCGATTGAGACCCAGTGAGTCATCCTGTGNCCTGAGGAGAGAGAGTAGCCAGTCTTGTTCAGTTCAGGGCCCACCACCCTGGTCCAGCGTGTGACAAGTCCAGTAGAATGTACAGAGAACTCCAGGGGAAGAAAGAGCCCTCCAATATCTTGTCATGTGTTATTTGTCATTATTTCATATGCATTGACTTTTTTTATTGCCTGTGAGTGTAGATTATAATGAACATCCTTCTTTGTCTAGTCTTGTCTGGCAAATTCAAAATATTACAGATCCATTTCTCATGGCACCTTCTCCAGGAAGTGGTTTCCGTCTCTCCCGGGGCAAAGGACTCTCCACCCACTCCTGGAACACCCATTTTACACATGTTTACAGATTGACTGTTGCTGACACACAAATTATGAATAATTTGATGGATATCTAGTGTCCTTCAGAAACTCCCCAAGTGCAGCCACCGTGGTGTTCCCATCTGCCCTTAATCCCAGGGCGTGGCAAATAGCCCAACACACGGGGATCCCATGGCAGAAATGCCAAAGTGATAGGAAATCCTGTCTGGTGCTCAGAGCCACTCCTGGTGTTAAGTTGTAAATCCAGTAAGCAGACAAGGGCTCTGCCTAGCCAAGGAGGCCGTGGGATCAGATGAGGTTCTTCTGTCTATAGCATGTTCTGTGTTCATGTTTAGGCCATCCTGTCTATTTCCATGTATGATCAGTCATCAAAATTTAGCTTATCTTTTGAATGTGTGTGTGTATGCTCAGTCACTTCAGTTGTGTCCGACTCTTTGTGACGCTATGGACTGTAGCCCGCCAGGATCCTCTGTCCATGGGATTCTCCAGGCAAGAATATTGGAGTGGGTTGCCATGCCCTTCTTCAGGAGATCTTCCTGACCCAGGGATCAAACCTGCATCTCTTATGTCTCCTGCATTGCAGGCAGATTCTTTATCCACTGAGCTACCTGGGAAGGCTGATCTTTGAATGTGGAAAGTTAATATTGCATCAACAGTGATAAGTTTATGGATGGAAAGCAATTCAGATGGCTTAAGAAATTATGACCACATGACATGACTATTGTGGGATGCATATTCTTTCCACTTCTGAGTTCTGTCATGTAATTTGCAAAACAAGTCTGGAACGTTTCTATTTCATTGCTTATTTTGCCAGTTAATTCTATAAAACAGTAAGTTTGAAGGAATTATCCAAGCCTATTGATCATTTACTGTGCCATACTCTGGATATTGCATGGTGCTTTATGTGTTGTTTTATTTAATCCTTACAGCAACTCTGTGAACTGGGTCTTATTTTTCCCATTTTTTGTTAAAGAGAGAAGCTTAAGTAACACAAAAGCTTAGATCACCTTTCCCCACTTCACTTAGGTGGCAAAGCTGAAATCTGAATCTAGATAGCAAGATATTTGTTTGCTTTGCCTGTTCTTATTGGATATAAGAATATTTGGGAACTTAGTAACAATTTTTTTTCCCTCCAGGAGAAATTGAACCATCCTCATAATTGTGTGTTTTCTGTTTGCAGGGAAGCAAAGGAGCCTACAGGTACCACTGGCAGAGCCACAATGTCAAGCACAGTGGCGTGGATGACATGGTCTTGCTCTCCAAGATCACAGAGAATGCCATCGTGGAGAATCTAAAGAAGAGATACATGGACGACTACATTTTTGTATCCTTTATTGGTTCCTTCGGACGTGTCATCTTAATAAGATGACATCTAAGTAAGAGACCATCTGAAATTCCAAACTGATGCTTATGTGTTCAAGTCATTTTCACTATTTCAGAATGTGGCTTTGTACTTTTTGCTGCTTGATTCAGGCTATGGGAAGGGCAAAGATGGTGCTGAAGTTGTTTTTCTTTTTTTAATTTATTTTTAATTGGAGGACATCTGCTTTATAATATTGTGTTGGTTTCTACCACACAGAGCAACCTGAATCAGCCACAAGTGTACATATATCCCATCCCTCTTGGCTTCCTTCGTGGCTCAGATGATAAGAATCTGCCTGCAGTGCAGGAGACCGGGTTCAATCCGTCACTTGGGAAGATCCCCTGGAGAAAGGAGTGGCAGCCGACTCCAGTATTCTTGCCTGGAGAATCCCGTGGACAGCGGAGCCTGGTGGGCTGCAGTCCCTGGGGTCACAGAGAGCCGGACACGACTGACTAACACATCTCCTTCTTGAACCGCCCTCTCCCCCTTCCCCCATTCTAGGTTGTCACAGAGCACTGGATTGAGCTCCCTGTGTTATATAGCAACTTCCCACTAGCTGTCTATTTTACATATGGTAATTATATGTTTCAGTGCTATGGGGCTCAAGTTTTTTCCTGGTGTTTTTAGTTTAAAGTTTCTTCCTGCATCAAAATCGTGATGCAGCCAAGGACTGCCCTGGAGACCTAGTGGTTATAACTCTGTGCTTCCACTGCAGGGAGCACAGGTTCAGTCCCTGGTCAGGGAACTCAGATCCCAAACGCCACACTGTGTAGGGAAAACAAGAAGATGAAGCCAGTGTTCTCTATTTCAGTCCATGGCACTGAACCTCTGATGTGCTCTAGTCACACACGTGGTGTCTAAAACCTGTGCTCTTCCTAAAGAATGTCCTGATCTGCAGAATTCTATCAGTAATGTTCCCTAATTGCAAAGCAGAGACTGATAAGTCCAGACTTAAAAGGTTTAAAAAAGATTGCCTCATGCAAAATATATGCTATTTTGCCTGTTTTTCTGCATTCTTACGTTTACTAAAATAAATAAGAGAAGCGAAGATCAATTACTGAAAATGTCTGATGTTCTTGAGTTGTGCTTTATGTTTCAGTCTTAGCTTGCCAGATGCCATTTTGGGTAGGACTGGAAAACATTCGGAACGGAAATTTGATTCAAATGTGTGTTGACTTCATTATAAACTTCATAGAGAGCTATGATAGTTGCTTAAGTTCCTACAGGATTCAGGAGTTCTGTTTGGTGCAACTGTGTAAAGTTATTTTAGTATAATTATTGTAGAATTGGTCATGGACAAGCAGGAGTCTGTGAAAATCTGTCTAGTAGTACCAGAAGGTTTATGCTCTTGGTGGCTCTTGGTGGTGATGCCGTTGGTGGCTTCTGAGGGTGTGGTGTTCTGGATGGCCATTAAAAGTGGAGTCTTTGCAGCCTCTGTGACATACCTTTTTAGGTTTTAACCTCTAAACCTTGGAGAGGTAAAGTCTTCACATCCATAGCTTCTGTGTATTATTTACACCGCTCCTCTTACTCTTACATAAAAGCATCTATAAACATGTAGCAGTAGTTTTGCATCATTTCCATCATTGATGAGGAAGGAGCTCAACTTACCAGGTATTTATGCTAATAAACATTCCAAGGTACTTGGATGTTTCTAACCAATACTGTGCTGTTTCTTGTTTACCATAGGAAATTTTACCAATTATCTGGGTAGTTAAATTCCTAAACCCCTGCTTTTAAGTTTTAATAGATATATTTGGATTATTAAGCACATTATAACAGCATCTTGATCAGGTGTGGAAGCCCACTGCCTACAGAGAAAACCCCACCCACCACAGATTTTATTGGAATGCAGCCATGCTGGTTGCTTTACTTGTTTTAAAGTGTTGTCTGACACTGCTTTTATGCTACAGTGGCAGACTTGAGTATTTGCAACAGACCCTGTGATCCACAAAGCCTGAACTAATTATTCTCTGATCCTTTACAGGGAACATTTGCTGACTCCTAGATACCTGTGCAGAGCTTCCTTTAATTGTATGGAAGCAGTTGTATACAGTTGTTAAGTTTTCGTTTTATTTGGCAAAAAAGTTGAATTATGCTCACTTTATCTAGGCTTATCATTGAAAGGTTTTAATAACTTTTGTGTGCAAGACCCATGGAAACTGGCCTCTGACTCCTAGATACCTGTGCAGAGCTTCCTTTAATTGTATGGAAGCAGTTGTATACAGTTGTTAAGTTTTCATTTTATTTGGCAAAAAAGTTGAATTATGCTCACTTTATCTAGGCTTATCATTGAAAGGTTTTAATAACTTTTGTGTGCAAGACCCATGGAAACTGGCCGATGATGAACCAGAGAAAGTTGGGATGAATCTGGACACCCTGGCTTTGAGCCTTAATCTGCATGAGCTTGGTGATCTTATACAAGTTTTGTGATCTGTATTCCTTGATTTCCTGACCTGTGAAATGGAAGTGATGATAAAAACTCCTACATGAGGCTGTTTAGGGTGAAATGAAATAACAAATGCAGTGAATACATGGTTAGTGTTAGTTATTATTATCATACATGAAGGCAAGTGTACGAGTGTTCTCATATTTCTGAATTATGTTCCAAAAACTCATTTATAAAGTTGCTTTTGGACATTCAGGTTCATTTTACCATAGAAACTTTTATTTTTATTTTTGTTTCCATTTATTTTTATTCGTTGGAGGCTAATTACTTTATAGCATTTTACCATAGAAACTTTTAAAGGGAGGATTGGTTTATTGACAAGCCCATAAAAGGCTAATTTCCAATGAATGTAATTGAACTCATTATTTATTGGAATGTTCTTAGAACATGGGCTCATTATTTATGTAGACATGGTTTTTGATCAGCTGGGTAAGAAAAGAAAAAAATGTCAGTGGTTATCAGCAGCTGTCCATCATCAACCCAGACAGACTTGCTTTTCCCTCTATGGTCATTTACCCCTAAAACACTAGAAATTCCTTAAGAACAGGGATTGTGTCCTTTATATATCTTTTTAAAAGTGAAGTTTAAAAATAACTTTAAAGCAATAAATGTTCATTTAACATGATCTACAAAATGCAGTTAACTAGAAAGAACACTAAAATCCCTTGGAATCCCACCATATAAAGTTTGCTCCTAGTAACCTAATATATTTTTCAGTTTAATCACATATAGACATATATGTATGGGCTCCCCTGGTGAACTAAACAACAACAACAAGACGTGCATACATGCATGTGCCTTCTTATTAATTTTAGCTAAACAATGGCACATCCTGCATTGTTTATTTCTTTTCCACTAAATTCTTGGCATGGTGTATTAAGTGTTTGTTGAAAATCTGTTGACTATGAAGCCTTGCTTTTTATATTCAGACAGCAGAATTCTAAAATGACTCACACAGAGGGGGCTGATTTCTTTGAATTAATGTCTTTGAATCAATGACTGACTAATCATGTGTTCTACCAAGGAAATGAGTTAGTTGACCACTAATAGACTTTGTGTTGTAGAAATCTCTGCCCACTCAGTATATGAGAAATTCGACATCACTGTGCTTTCCGGCAATAGCACAGAGCAGCTTTCAGCTTTGAGGAAGCTTGGTGGCTCTTTTGGATGTTTATGAAATAATACCAAGGGTCTAACTGCGAATCTTTTCCTCTAAAGAGGAGATAAGAGCCTCCTTTATCAGTTCAATGCCAAGGGAATATTATTATGATAGGATCGCATTAGTATTGTAAATGAGTTTCCCCTCCCTCTCTTCTAAGCTCAATAGTGAAGACGAGAAGATTAAGATTAAGTTATAATATTGTTCATTTGACCTCTTCTGCATCTAATAGCAGCGCATTGTCTTGTGCTGAAGGTCAGCCTTTGGAACAATCACATTCAGGCTGACTGCACATTTCTTTGTTCCACAGTGGGGAAAAAAAAATCTGCTTAGAAAATGCAAACGTTGTCAACCAAGGAAAACCCATTTTTTTTCAGCTATTTATCCTAGGACTAGGAAGGTTTCATTTCCTGTCTATTTTTCCGAAGTGTTGCCACCCTTACAATTTCAGTTCTAAAATATAGGAAGGACCTTGCTGTGTTCGCCCTCTGCTTGGTGAGACATCACTTACAGCCCTTGGCTGACAAAAATAGTTCTTGAACAAAGCACCATGGCCTCATTGGTTCCAACTTTCTCCAAACTTGTTTTTCCTCAAAGACCACACTCAAGTGTGCTTGGCGTTTTCAACCCAACAATTAGGAGTTGAGACACTTGTGCCAGACCAACCAGAGCTCAAAGCTGTGCCCTTGTTCCAAATGAGGTTTGGCTCTTTGCTGCCAGTTCATGTTGGGGTTGGGGGGGATGTTGCTGCAGTGAGATGAATGTGGGTCTGATGGCCAAAGCCAGGGGCTCAAGTTCCATCATTTCCATATATGTGACTTCACACATCACCTCACCTCCCTGCCCCACCTCAGTGATGAATCCAGGGAGGTTGACTAGATCAGTGTGGACAGTTAGAGGGAATACTGGCTATTAAAATGTTTTTTTAAAATGTTAAACTCTTGTTACAAAATGGAAAGAGACTCAGAGACTTGGAAAACAAATTTATGGTTGCCAGGGGGAAGGGATAATTAGGGAGTTTGGGAAGGTCATGCACACACTCCTATATTCAAAATGAATAGCCAACAAGGACCTGTTGTATGGCACATGGAACTCATAACTCATGGAACATAACTCAGTGTTATGGGCCAGCCTGGATAGGAGGGGAGCTTGGGAGAGAATTGATACATGTGTATGTATGGCTGAGTCCCTTCATTGTTTACCTGAAATTACCACAACATTGTTAATCGGCTATACCCCAAAACAAAATAAAAAGTTTAAAGTTTAAAAAATAAAATAGAGTATGAGCTATTTTAAATATAAAAAAAGTTAAAACTTTTCCTTATAAGACCATTAAAAAAATTTGTAGACGCTGCGCTACCATCACATTTCATAAAAGAAAGAATATTTTAACACCCCCAAAATAGAAAGGAAATAGTTTAAGAGTAAAGGATGGCCCTTTATACTGAAAAAATTGGACTTTATGAAAAATTGAGGGCTCTGTTTCTCTTTTTGTCATTCTTTTTGCAGATCAATGAAAACTTATGGATCCACGGACAAACATTTGGGAGCCAGTCAGTTAAAGATCTATTGGCTCTCTTCTGTCTTGCATATTCTGTTGGCAATAATAAAATGGCATTTATTTTATGTCTTTTTTTAAAAATCATAGCCTTGTGTATCTCCATACAATTTGAAAGTTAGCCTTGGGCCACACCTTTCTAGCCAAAAGTTATGTGGGTGGAGACAGTGATGGAACAGCTTTTTCCAAAGGCACACCTGAATTATGCAGCAAGGAGTGGGAGTGAGTATTGGAGTTATCTGGAAAGTGGCCCAACCCAGGAGAAGACTGGTGTTCTCTTGAAAGTAGCTGAGGTATCTGCAGACCCAGGCAGGTGGGAAAAATATGTTTGTTTCCTTTAAATTCCAAATAAAATTCTCTTGTCTCCATTCTGATTTAAGTAAATTTGTAGCTACTTAGCGTAGATAGAAGATACATTATCCATTTCAAACCAAACTTTGCTTTTCAGGAGTCCCGCCTCAAATAATACTTCCCATGAGAAACCCTACTGAGATCCTTCTTCCAGTCTGACTCACGACTGATTCATGATTGACCTAGAATATTCCAAAAGAAATTTTTTTTCCTCTGAACATCTCCTTGTCAGAATTTATATAGACTACTTAGTGAAAATCAAGACTTTGTCTTTTCATATACCAACATAGCAGATTATTAACATTAAAAAAAAAATGTTGCCTCCTATAGGAGTTCTTATGTTAACCCAATCCAGATTTATTTACTGGAGAACCAAGGTTGAGTTCAGTTCAGTTCAGTCACTCAGTTGTGACTGAGTCACTCCGACTCTTTGCAACCCCACAGACTGCAGCTTGCCAGGCCTCCCTGTCCATACCAACTCCCGGAGTTTACTCAAACTCAATGTCCATTGAGTTGGTGATGCCATCTAACCATCTCATCCTCTGTCGTCCCCCTCTCCTCTCGCCTTCAATCTTTCCCAGCATAAGGGTCTTTTCAAATGAGTCAGCTCTTTGCATCAGGTGGCCAAAGTATTGAAGTTTTAGTTTCAGCATCAGTCCTTCCAATGAACATTCAGAACTGATCTCCTTTAGGATGGACTGGTTGGATCTCCTTGCAGTCCAAGGGACTCTCAANTTACAGACTGTATCTGTATAAAAATAATGATATTAATATATGGTTTTGTTTCTTACTTTTTAATCAAATATTGGGAAACCTATTAAACTAATTTTAAAAAGGAAATCATTGGGTTCTCTACCTTTGCATGCTAGTAATTAATCAATTTGTCTATAATTTATGGGAAAATGAATAAAAATAATTTGTGTGGTTTCACACATACTTTCTACCCTACTCACACCAAAGTTTCTTTTGAGAGTCATTACAAAAAAGCACATATATAACAAAAGATCAAATAGAAATCAAAAGTCATAGAAATAATGACTTTGTTTTAGCAAGGCCTTATAGTGTGGAATTATTAATCATATTTTTAATCTTTCAGATTTGAGTATTATTTGTAATGAGTTTAATCTGTTTCTTATATTTTTTTTTTTCAAATTTTTTTTTTTTTTTTTTGATGTGGGCCATTTTTAAAGTGTTTATTGAATTTGTTATAATAGTGCTTTTGTTTAATGTGTTGGTTTTTTGGCCATAAGGCATGTGGGTTCTTAATTCCCTAACCAGGGATGGAAACCTGCACCCACTGCATTGGAAGGCAAAGTCTTAATCACTGGACCATCAAGAAAGTCTCCTCTCTGTTGTTCAGTCACTAAGTTGTGTCCGACTCTTTACGGCCCCATGGACTGCAGCATATCAGGCTTCCCAGTCTTTCACTATCTCCTGATGTTTGTTCAAAGTCATGTCCACTGAGTCAGTGATGCCATCCAACCATCTCAACCTCTGTTGCCCCCTTCTCTTCTGTCCTCAATCTTTCCCAGCATCAGGGTCTTTTCCAGTGAGTACACTCTTGCCAGTCCCCCTCTGGCAGCTCTTTATTCTCTGAATGCAGTGATCTGTTCATTCAGGTGCATTCATAGCAGTCCCTTTACAGCTAAGGAAGAAGCACCCATTCTCCAGATGTAGGCATAGACATCGCCTTCTTATGAAATGAATGTGATCATAGCAATGCTGTATTTTCTGAATATTGAAAATTCGTCATGTCTCAGTTTCCTCCTAGTAAAATAGGATTAAAATAATATCAAGGTTGTCATTGGGAACTTAGATCAATGTGATCTATACATGTATGTGTTCGATCAGTGTTTGTTTTTATCAACACTTGTTGAGTCTTGGCTGTAACACCATGCACACTTATGACCTGCTTACTAAATCTAACAATAAATCTGTTCTAAATCTTACCTCCAAAACAGTCGGCTTCTAATCTGTTGTTGGCCTCCTCTGACTTTGGCGCTTGGAACCATGTTTTCTCGGCCCTTCTTCCATGATTTTGGAGTGATTTTCAGTTACGATTCACTGCCTCGTCTGCGTTTTCTTTCAGTACCATGGTCTGCCCCTGCGCCTGAGCAGTGCAGGGTGCATCTGGGTGTGCTGTGAAAAGGGACCTATCTTCTCTACTGCTACTGGGTTGGCTGAAGGAACTTTTTGGCCAACCCAGTATTTCACGCAAAGAGTTGGACACGACTGAGCGACTGAACTGAACTGAGTATTTCACGTTCAGCCCTTTTGAGTCTGAAAATCTTTCTGTTTAGTGAAAATGCAAGCAAAATTGCAGCCAAATCATTCCCCATTCTCCCCTTCATGTATCAATATTATTTTTTAAATATTATATGATCCACTCCACACTTGACTCATTTGTATTTGATAACACTAACACTGCTTCTCAGAGGTGACACAGTGAGCATTTTGAAGTATATGAATTAAGGAAATTGCCTCTGCTACATATCAGACATTCTACTGAGCATTTGATACTGTATTGCTTAATTCTCATAACAAAACCTATCAAGTAGGTTCTATTTACCCCATCATCCAATCACCACCACGTAGACATGAGACTTGCCCAAGGCCAGGGTAGAATAGAACTGGGCATAGGGAGCTTGGTAATCTGATCACACTTTCCTGTGTTGCTCTATTTGACACTCAGGTCCTAATATATAATTGTCCCCTTGGGGAAGGAAATCTCGCAGCTTTCAGAGATCGAACCTGTGTCCCCTGCATTGCGAAGCAGAGTCTAAACCGCTGGACCACCAGGGAAGTCCTAGCTTTACATTCTTAACTGCAAAATTTCTAAACATTTTGAAGTCATTGATTAAAAGAAACAATTTGAGTATTGTGTATGTTTTGTTTTTTGTTGATGTTTGCATTTTTTAATGATATTTTTACATCTGTTCTGTTTTGTCCACTGCTGTATATCCCCAGCATATGTTAACAGTGCCTGGCAAGTTGTAGACATCTAATTCGAACTAATTGATTATTGAATGATAAATATAAATATTTTGTATGTTATAATAGCACTTCATTTTGGGGCCATAAGTAACACATTTTCTTCTGAGGGGCCTTCCAGAATTTCCCATACATAAATAACACCTTCTTCCCTAAACCTGATCTATGCTCAGATGCTCAGTTGTGTCCGATTCTTGGAGTCTTCCATGGACTGTAGTCCATCAGATGCCTCTGTCCTTGGAAGTTTCCAGGCAAGAATACTGGAGTGGGTTGCCATTTCCTTCTCCACAACCTGATCTATATGCATTTGTAATTTTCTGCTCTGAATTCTACTTATGGATACAACTCAGTTCTCCATGGCTTCTAAAGAGCAGGACTGTTCAGTTCATCTTATATCCCTCTGTTTATTAAACAAGTAAATGAATATGTTCTCAGTATACCCAAGAGATACCAAGGAAAAAATATTTGTTCTTTTTAGTCCTTGATCTTTTGGTTTTTTACCCTAGCCATGCATGTCACCAGTCTTGAGAGAATGTGTTTCAATTCACTTAAAGTAATGATTTATTTTTGTAATACCTTGGTAATTAAGTTCATTACTCTTCCTGAAGAACAAAACCTGAACTACTTGGTAATTGCTTTTGTCTTTATTTGTAATCTTTTAGAAAACAAACCTATGAGCTTTTCATTGGGACAATCATTATGAATTCTTGATAACAATCTGGTTGCTTAATTTGAAAAATGTGTAGCTGTGAAGATTAATGATAGACCTTAACTGGATTTAAATTCAGACATATATAGGATCCGTATTAATCTCAGTCAACCCTTTCAAGCAGATGCCATATTTTGGGGAAAAGGAAATTGAAATGTACCAAGGAGCGGTAAGTTACATGCCACATAAAATTACTGTAGTGTTTGGGGGTTTTTATGATGTATGGGCAATTGAAGTTGGCAATACATTTGCATTTTCTTTTATAAATTTATTGGGAAAGCTTAAATAGGTTACATTGTTTGATTTTTTTAATGATGTGCTGCTCTTTAGAGTACAGCTCAAACAAAGCTTAGGACTATTAATATTGGAATGTTATAAACAATATTAGTTTAATGGAATGTAGGACTTACAGCTTCAGGCATCTTCCTCCTCCAATATATGTCACAGAACTCTAAAGAGTAAAAAATTAAGTAATCGGTAAAAAAAATAAATTGGGCGATGGGAACCATTCTCTCCAAATCACTGAAACCGTGGCTGTGACTGGAACATGAAAAGCAAATCTTTTTAAATTTCACTTATTAATGTGACACCCTCATCCCTATTCAGACCCAGCTCCATAGCCATTTCAGTTGTGACATAAAAATAGAATCTGTAATCCTAATTTGTATATTTCATTCTCTGGCTCCTCACTTCCCCAGGCCTCCCCATCTCTACATCTTTTTCCTTCCCTCTTCCCTTTGCAGCAGAAGCACAAGAGCATTCATTAATCCTGACCCCTGGAAAACAAACAAAAGGGAGCCCACACAAATTCATCAGTTGAAGTGGAAGGCAATTTACCCAGAGCAAGAGCCCACCCCATTGTTGCCAGATGAATGGTGCTGGTAGCTGGAGCTGAAGGAGGCTGCCACGCGAAAGACCTTTGATAATGCTGCCTTTATGGGAGCCCAGCACAAGGGAAACACTGTCGGCAGAGCCTGGCCCTGCCCTGGCGCCCTGATCAGCAGGGCCCGGGGCCGCCAGCACGGAGCTGGCTTGGAGTCTGCAGCGACGGCCTAGGCAGGGTGGATGGAAGCGCTGTGTATTCCTGCTGTTTCTTTCCAGTGCTCTGAAAAGCGTTCTTACATGAGTCCCTTTTAGACCGTTCATCTTTTGAAGAGTTCTTTTTAAAGAAATGCCCTAGAATTAAAAAAAAAAATACATTTATTTTTAACTGCTGATGGCAATAGACTGTTGTAAAATTGGTATTTATTTGGTGCCAGGTACTATGTTTATATTTGCAACAATAATAAAGCAGCCCTGGATGCTGGCTGTGTATTACGATGCATGTCTGTTTCATAGATGAGGAAACACAGGCTCATAGAGGTGAAGTAATTGAATCTATTGAGTGTTGGAGCTAGGAATTGAGGTCAGGTCTCAGTGATTGGGCACTGGATACATCAGTGCTTAACTTGGGTGCAGACATCAAAGCAGTCATCCCTCCTCGTCACTCAGCTCTGATCCGCCAGAGCTTGCGATGAGTGGCCATTTCTGGGGCAGGCCCCGTATGATATAGTAAGTTGTTGTATTAATAAGACTCAAAGTTGGGATGCAGCACATTCTACTTTAGCTATGTGTTTCACTAACCTTTTCTAATTACTTTCTCATGTGTCATCTCAGTGGCCTTGTGAGATGTGGATACCATGGACCTTGTTATCCCCACTCTAGAGATGGAGACCAGAGAAGGGAAGGACAGAGTCTAAATGTCTTCTCACTCTGGATGTGACTTTCTTCTCACTCTTCTGTGTTACATAGTCTTAAATTTAAGGAGTGTTCTTTCTCCAGCTTTCCACCATATGAAGTATTTTTCTTTTTAGTGACTTTGGTGGGAGTGGTAGAAGTGGTGCCAAGAAACTGAAGAAAGCAGGGCTGAAGTTGTCCTGACACAGTGAATTTACTGGTGGATTTATATTATGCATAGCTCAGATATCCCATGAGATTCAAGTACAAATCCACTCTCTTGGTGTGGTAGGAATTGCTGTTTTTCCATGTTGAGATGGAACAAACTGGTCAAACCTGTTTATCCTCTAAAGAACCACACCTCCTGCCTTCTTCTTATGGAAAATAAGTTTTTTTCCTTATTTTCTAATAGTCTTAGTTTCCTCTAGGGTCCCAAGATCTCCAACTTGCCTCTTAGGGAAAAAAAAAATAATGTAGAATTTCTGATTTAGTACAAGTCAGAGCCAGGTTTTTAGTAGGCCTCTCTTAAGACCTGCTGCCCAGCTGCCTTTCAGAGACCTTTAGAAACGGAATGTGGCCTGCAGAGGCATGCTGCAGGTAGAAGGGCGTGTTGTTGGAGTACCTGAAGACCATGGGTCATGTCTGAAGGCTGAATCACTCATAGGCCAAAGAATAGTCCTTCCAAATTCCTTCCATCTTCATTGTGTTAGGTGTTCCTCCTCAGGACCTTGGCAATTTTATGATTCTTGTATTACGCAGCCTTTAAGATGGGGACTATACAGTGGCATGTTCATTTCCAAAGCCAAGAAAAGAAATGTGTTGCTTTTATCTGACCATGGTTTTGTTTTGTTTTGCTTTTCTAGGCACAGTATGAGAACCCACCACATATCTATGCTCTTGCAGATAATATGTTCAGAAATATGATAATTGACAGAGAGAACCAATGTGTCATCATCAGGTATGGAAAAGAACATTTTTAGGTCCAGGGAACACAGGACCATGCTTTACATAGGATGCTGTCAAGGAGCAATGCTTCTGCAATAGTTTCTCATTTCAGAGGCTGGTTAATGTATCTGAGTAACAAGTAGCCTATTAGCTTTGCCTTGGTGTATTTTATAACCTCAAATCATAAAGCTCTGTGCTTCCATGAGGTTGCTTTTTGTACCCATGTCACTTGAAGCATTAAGGCTTTAGGGCACATGGTTCTAGCTCAGTCTTTCTCTGATTGTCATCAGGCCCGGAAATAAAATCTCAAGACACTTCCCCTCCCATTTTGGATTGTATTGTGGTTTTACTCTGAATTGGAGATCCTTTATGTTACGAGTATAGTAAGCATGTGTTACTGTTTTGTCAGCTGGAGTCCTTTTTTCTAGGTCCTTTTTCCTTAATATTTCAAGTTTGAACTTTTTGGGGTTTTTTTGTTTTTGTTATTTAATTTTCTGAAGGCATTACTGGTCAAAGCCAGCATTAGGCGTCCACAGCTATATTTTGCAATCCTTTTAACCTGACCCAGCTCTGAGTCTTTGCTGGCTTGAAGTGCTTTTACAATTTTGTTTACTGTTACAAACATTTTCAAACATACAGAAAACACAAGCAATCCATATTTCCATCACTTAGAACTTGACAGTTATTAACTGTCATCTTTGTTATTTTTGTTCATCTTTTTTAGTGCTTTAATTTTTTAATTCTTAATTTTTTAATGAAAATTAAAGGAAAAAATCCTATTTGTATTTACAAGCATACGCAAAATTACAAAAAGTATTGTAATAGGCCCTGTGTATCTGTCATCTACTTTGTACATTTATTAATATATGGCCAACCCTGTTTTACCTAGTCCTCCCACTCTGCCCCCACTTGATTCAATCCTGGGCAGAAAATAATTTCATTTGTCAATAATTCAGTGTATACCTCTAAAAGACCATTCTTATCACAACTGAAAAAAAAAATGAGTAATTCCTTCAGTATGATCTAATATTATCGGTATTCCAATTCCACGATTGTCTTATAAATTCTTTTTTTTTTTTTTACAGTTGATTTATTTTTATTTGGGTTTCAAAGGCTCATGTTTCATATTTAGCTGTGTGTCTCTCAGGTCTTTTAATTGTTAATAGTTCTCTCTTATTCTTTTTGTTTTCTTGGTGTTTATTTGTTAAAGAAAATGTTTTGTCCTGTAGAATTTTCTGCAGTCTGATAATAGCTAGTTGCATCCCATGACTTTGCACTGTCCCCTATATTTCCTGTAAATTGACAGGCTTTGAAAGCTTGATTAGATTCATTCAATTTTTTAGCAGAAAATGCTCCATCATTGATGCCTTGCCCTTAATGCCTGTTTGGCTAACTTTTTGTGATGTTCAGATTTCCAGTGAGTCCATTCATTATAAATTCTCATTTCACAATCATTTAATTAACAGTTGAAAAATAATTTTCTAATTGTATTCCTTCTATATTAATTTATTAATTAGAGTTTTCTTTCATTTATCATAAAATACAATCTAAATGGGAAAATTGGATAAAAAGCTTCATTTGTTATTTTCATTTACTAATTTTTGAAGCAATAAGTTGATGCCCTAGCAGCCTCCCAAAGTATAATGTTTTTGTTTTCAGTATCATTCTATACTGGTGGGTTTTAAATACCTTACCTGTTTAACTACATTGCAGTTTTTCTTTTAGGTTGAAATAGTCCCACCTTTGGTTTGTGAGGGTCCTTTGTATTGGCTCCTTTGTCCCTTTGATATGACTCCAGTAGTCTTTGATAGTTTTCTTGTATAAGATGTTCCAGGCTTATCTTGTACATTTTCTGCCAAGCCTTAGGTTCAGCCATTTCATCAGAAAGCCCTGGCTCATTTTAATGGGAAATAGTATTTAGAGACTATCAATCTAGTGATGAAGAGTGCTCACTGCTCTGTGTTAATGGTGCTTCTTGTTCTTTTCAGAGGACAAAAGCAAGGAATATGAACTTTTTAAGAGAAATATGAAACATCAATTCACACTGATAATGTTCAGTTCATTTGTAAGATTTTATTTCTTTGCATTTTATATTTGAATGCCATTTCTCTTATTCTGAAAACCTTGGTTCCTGATGATATCATTAAAATTATTTGCGCTATACTATGCCTGTGCATAAAATTATAAATAAATAATTAAGTATATACTTATACTTAAATAAGTATATATTTATAAAAGATATATTGCATAGTAAATAATGGGGTAGAGCAAATAAATAATTCTATTAATGTTTTAAGATAACAATACCAACATTATTTGTAGCAATACTATTTCACTTTACAATATCTTTGTTCTTTTTTGTCCTTAGGATGTACAGTCAAAATATTGGATTTTAAAAGTGACTTGACATAATACTTTTCTGTGTCATTAACATGCCAATTTGACCTACAGTTAAGTTCATGTATTTCATTTTGGATTTTGGAAGTTTAAATTTTTTATTTTAATTTTGTTTTAAAACTGTTTAAACTATTTACATGGCTCCAAAGTCAGAACTATAAAACAGGAACACTGAGGCATTTTAAGATATAAACTTCATATTTTATCTCCAAATATTTCCATATACATCTCAAAATATTTTCTAACTTAGTCCCAATACCATTATCACAACTAAATAATAAATAAGTAATCCACATTTAAATTTCTCTAATTGTTGCACACATGTCCTTTCTTGCCAGTTTATGTTAATCAAGGAACCCTGGCTGCATTTGGTAATGAGTCACTTTTTTAATCTTACTTTTTTCTAATCTTTCTCCCATTTTTTTGTTTTTTTTTTCCCATTGACTTGGTCAAGAGAAGAAAACCCAGTTTTCTTATAGACACCTTTCAGATTGGTCCAGTTGCTTCCTCATGGTCTCATTTCTCTAATTCCTTCAATTTTCTGTAAATTGAAAGTTAGAACTAAATTCTTAATTAGCTTCAGGTTAAGCCTTTTGGAAAGAACACTTGTGTGTTGATGAGTTTGGTTGCTGAATTGGAAATGCTTATGTTTGTTCCCAAGTGGAAGTCACTGGCCAGTAGAGAGGTGGGACATGTTTTCATGACTCAAATGAGAGAGGATAGGATGACTTTTCTAACATATTCCCTTGCCCTTTCTCCTTTCTTCTGGGCCCTTAGTAAGATGAGAAGAAAGGGAATGGTCTTGTTGCATGGGTTTCATCAGTTTGGAGCCTCTTCCATTTTTCCTAGTCCACCTTTCTCCCTCTCTCGGATTTCCTCAGTAGGTCCTACAGGAGACACTTGCTCTGAGGCAGGACATGTGCCCACTTCTAGGAGCCTTCTTTTCAGTGTTCAGTCAGCAAAGACTTGAAGGCCCTGCTCCAGGGAATTCTACTGCAGTCTCTTTGCTGGTGGAGATACAGGAGATGGTAGGACAGGGAGCTGCTTTGACCTCTGACGTTAACCACCAAGTCAGGCCAGACTTCACATGTGAAAGGCACAATTCTCCATGAGACACCAGCTGCAGGTTGGAAAGTTCCCACCACTGCCTTGGTTTCATTACTGCAACAACTCACAAAAGTCAAGAGAGCCCTGAACTTATGGTTACAGTTTTATTAGGGCAAAAGGATACAAAGCAGAACCAGGAAAAAGTAGAGACATAAGAGCAAAGTCTAGGAGGGGCCCAGATGTGCGGCTTCCAGGCCTCTTCCCCCCATGGAGCCATCGACAGTGTTATGTCCTTCCAGTTATGGTGTGGGAACTGACAATACTATTGCCAACTAGAAAGTTCACCTGAGCCTTTGGTGTTCAGAGGTTTTATTTGGGCTCAGTCATATACTGCCTGAATGACTGACTTGTAGCCTCCACCCCTCCTGAAGATGTGGGCTAATATGTGTAGTCTCCATGTCCTCCAGGAGTCAGAACTTAGATGCACCTTTCCAAAGCTCTTTTCATAAAACTATCCAGTTCCCAAATATCCCAGGCAAATAGAGACTCTCTTGTCAGGACGGATGTTCCCGTTCAGCTCAGTTCAGTCGCTCAGTCATGTCCGACTCTTTGTGACCCCATGAACCGCAGCATGCCAGGCCTCCCTGTCCATCACCAACTCCCGGAGTCCACCCAAACCCATGTCCATTGAGTTGGTGATGCCATCCAACCATCT